ATTGACAAAATATGAATACTTCTACCAGACTCTGTGCAACATTTAGAGGATAATCTCTCAGATAAATATTCAAGCTTGAGCAGAAAGCACCAATGGTTTGCTAATTGCTGCTGACTAGTCTGAAGGAGCTGATATATGATACGGAAGCTTGAAAACTGCAGCTCTGAGGAGGAGCTGCGCTTTGAGGGCGGAGCTAAGCCCACCTAGGCGTTTTGTTCAGCTGAATGGCTGAATGGAGATGAAAAAAAATCTCAAACACGCCTGAAAGACTTAAAGCGGCAGTCCAGGAAATATTCAAACATTTTTCTTTGCTACTAAACTAACCGAGTATGAATACTTCTATGACGTTCAGAGGAAAATCTCTGAGAAAACCTTTAAAAAACGTGGCCGCCTTACAGTACATCCCTATTTTCAAGCCACATTAGTCCGACTAACACCGCCCTGATTCCCTGCCTGTTTCAAACTGATCGGCGTTTTTCCCATGATGGTTTCCAAACATCAAGGACAAAGCTTTAGTCCATTACATCCTCTAATGCAGCAACGTGAGCAGATCCGACTTTACATTTCACATGCAAATTAAACCGCTGGCTGCTGGCTTTTGATCAAATCTCATCTCTGGAGGACGAGAGCAGGTGTTCAGTTTCAGCTACTAGCAGAGAAAATGCTGGTATCATTATAACATCTCTATTATTGTCGTGTTTTTGCAGCACAAATTGTACAGAAAGAATGAAGTGTCTGCAGAGAAAGGCGGCGTGATTCTGCTTCCAGTGAAGCGATGAAGGTTGGGAGGGCAGGGAGGAGATGACCAGCCTGAAAAGGTCATTTCACACATTATAACCCATCATCATTTCATCTGTGTGCTGCTCTCCGCCTGCTGCCCTGCAACAATCTCACTGTACATGAATGAAACATGAACAGGAGAGTTTGGCTGCATCACGACCAGCCGCCGTGCTGAGCTGGGAATTAATGAAGCCGTTTAATCGCCTCAATGTTGTGCAGCTCCATTGCTCATGCTAATTGATTCATTTGTCCACCAGATTCACAAAGCAGATAGCAGCAAATGCAGGAAGGAGGAGGAGAAACTCCGCCCATGAAGTTAAAAATATGGCAGCCATTCTCACCAGTTCTTCTCCAATTTTTCAGGCAGTTTTCTAGTGTTTGCACATTTTATTTTGGAAAATTTTTATATCTTAAATGGCATACAATTTAAAACCCTTCTGGACCGAACATATTGGCAACGATCCAGACCATTTTGCGGTACCGTAACTCTGCTTCTCTTTGGCTATCTGAAAAATTCCAATGGTTTCTGAAAGGAGAGATGTTGCGCTTTCCAGCCAACATCTGGTTATTACGGTAATTTCACTCCCGCCATAGCAGGGAGTGATTTTCCTCTGATGAAACACACCTTTAGTAGACGATAAATTGCAAAGATAACTCGCTGGACATTGAAAGTTCCAGTTGTTATGGATAAATGTGCAAATATATTTATTCACAGGACAATTAAAGAACTGTGTACATTTAAAAAAAAACAAAAATATCCAGGCGGAGATCTGACACTCGAGACTCAAAGGGTTAAAACCGCTTGTTGCCAAGAAGACTAAACCGCCGCTTTTAAATACAACTTCAATATGTTTTGTGCCAAAAATGTCTGTTTTGGAACAGGCATTTGAATAATTTAATTTTGAATAATTTATTATTATGAATGGAAACCTTTGCAATAGATTTAAAAATGTTCTAGAAAAAAATGTGGTAATTTCTTAGATTGAAAAGTAAAACAAATGCTAGAAAAAACTAGGAAACTTTGTAATCAGTCTCGGAAATTCTCCAGAAAACCATTCAGAATTTTCTGAACTTGAAAAGTAAAACATTTTCTAGAAAAAAAAAAACTCAAACATTTTGCAACTGATCTAAAAAAAAATAAAAATCCTAGAAAACAATTAGAAAATTTCTTAGCTTGAAAAGTCAAAAAAATGCTCAAAAATATAAAACAGCTCAAGCCAGAAAACAGTCACTTTTAAAACCTGAATAAAATTGTATGTTGCTGATATTAAGTTAATTCTAAGAACAACGAAGCCAATCTGAAGCAGTTTCTACCCAGTGAAAAGAACCGATATTTTGTTTGACTGCAAAAACATTCAGGCGTACCAAATTACCAGCCTGCAACAGCAGCAGCAGCATAAATCGCTTTACCTGTCAGCGGTCGTAGTGTTGTTATGCCCATGCAAATAAAATCTACCGATTGCCACCCAGATGACTTCCCAACATAAACATGTCGCCTGCTGCTGACTGACTGCGCCTCTAAACCAGAGAGCAAACGGCGTGTTGCTGCAGAGGAGTGAAGCATCAGTGATGCTGCTTTTCTTCTGCTCAGCATTCACTTATTTCCTGGTTGACCCTCATTTCCCTCTAACACAACGACACTCAGACGGAGAACGTAACAGAAAACAAACAGCTGCTAAATACAGGAAATGCTGACGAGAAAAAAATATTTGCATCATTGTTTTGGTGCCCACTTGAGGACGGCACCTCAAAGCCGTATCGAGGTCGCTGTAGATAGCAACAAAAAATAAATAAACTAGAGAAAACTTCTACCAAAAAGCTTGACGTCCATCTCAGATATTTTCTAGAAAAGAACTTGGAAATTTCCAAGCTTGAAAAGTCAAAAAATTTTACGATTAATCTCAGAAATTTTGCAGAAAATAATTTGGAAATTTCTGGGCTTTAAATCAAAGATTTTCAGGAGAAAACTCAGAAATTTTGAGACTAATCTCAGAAATTTTGTAGACAAAAATATATTTCTGAGCCAGAAAAGTGAAAACTTTGAATGCTAAAAATTTTCAGAAATGTTCTAATTTTTTTCTAGAAAATTTCTAGAATTAATCTGAAGGGTTCCAGTAGTTTTTTTCTTACAAATACTCAAGTTTTTCTAACTCTAAAAATTTCCAGATACTTTTTAATCTCAAGGTTCCTGAGGTTTTTCTAAGTTTTCAGCTTTTCAAACTAATTTCTAAGTTTTTACTAAAATATTAAACTAGTAAAATTTCAGAGGTTTTTGGCAGAAATCTACTTTTATCTACATCAGACTTAATGCTTTACTTATACATGCTAAACAGGTGTTAAAAACTATCATTGCAAATAATCTCTCCACCATTGTTTGGCGCCCCTCTAGAGTAGCACCCACATGTGTTGCATAGAGCATGACCTGTTGTTTTGACACCACTGACTCCTCACACTGAGGAATCTCATTACAACTGTATTCAGAGTCAGTTCATTCCAAGCAGTTCGCCTCAGGCTCCAGAAATCGCAGCATCGAGTGATAGCGCGTGTGCGGTTCCGCCTCACAGCAGGATGTTCAGCACAACAAGTCTGTGATTCTGCACAAACGTGCGACGACGACTTATTTTTTAAAAATGCTTTTTCATTCTGATGCAGCTTATCTCTGTCGGCGACATTTGTCACTCTGAAAGGTGCGGAGTGAGATTATCGGCACCCGAAGCGCTCGCAGGGGGGTTGTGTAGCGCAGTCCTCACGGTTCAATTCTCTGCCTGTCAGCCGACGAATGACATAAAGCCCAACACACACACACACACACACACACACACACACACACACACACACACACACACACACACACACACACACACACACACACACACACACACACAGACCTTCAGCAGAGCTGCGCGGGCGCCTAGTGGACTGTTTGCCCTTAAAAACATAATTATATGGCTTTCATTTATCGTTTCGCGACATGCTTGGTTGGGTTTCTCATAACGCCAGGAATGATTTTGCTGTTGCTCCCTGGAGATCATCGTTTCCACTCTGGTGTCTTTGTGTTTACATCTTATTTTTATTCAAAGTGATGATGCTGGGCGCTACTTCAGAGCTCCAATATGGCTAACTGAAGCCAGGAGGTACTTTGGTCCAAAAGCAAAATTATTATTTTTAACTTTAATGAGAAAGAAATACAAATGTCTACAAAATAACAACAATTAAAATGATTCAACAAAAAGTAAGTACATAAATATCCACTCCTTTCATGTCAGTATTTCTGCTATGTTTGGAAATTCTGACTTCCAGTCATTTGGGGGAACAACCCCTTTGGGATCAGATTTCCCACAGGGAAACTGGGAGTACTTTACTGGATCCAAACCTGTGACGTCCAGAAAATCGGCTTGAAAAACTCCAAAATTTTGAGATAAATATCAGAAATTTTGTAAGAAAAAAATTGAGAATTTTGAGTTTGAAAAGTTGAAAATTGGCTTGTTCAAAACATTAAACTTTGTAGAGAAGAAATTAACATTTTTGGGCTCAAAGTCAAACATTTTAGACGTTAAAAATTTTGAAAATTTCAAAAAGTTGAAAAATGTAAGTTCACCCAAAGTGGAGCAGTTTAGTGGATCTAGATAATTCCTGGAGCCAGGCGTTAGTGGGCCAGATCATTACTGATCGACTCTTAGATCACGTATTGGAATCATTCTGATCAGTTTCTCTCAGTTTGTTTCTCCTGCGACTCCATCTTGGTGTCTTCACTTTGAGAGATTTGACTTGCAGAGGCAGAAAGACGACAGGGTGAGACACTTCTGGGTAATTGTGTGTATTCTCTACTTCATTACTCTGATCTCTGCTGCAGATCTAATGAAGGGAGAAGATTGTTATATATACCTTTGAACCTCATTGGAGATGTAATTAGCTTTGTTTTTCCATTTGTGTCTAATGTGTTTTGTCATTTGGCTTCTCCACCAACAGAGAAAGAGCATCACTTCGGTTTGTTCACTGCTAAATGTGACTATTATGAACATTTTTTCTTCTTCTACAGACATTGTGATCAATGGCTGCTTTTTGAGTATTTCCAGACCGACTGTGACCAAATTTGACGTTCAACCAAAGAATCACATGATCTATGGGTTGTTGGCAAGAGCTGGTGGATCTGCAGATGAAGCGGCAGAGCGGTTTGTGCAGCTGGAGAAGCTTTTGTCCTCTGTTGGAGCGCAACCATAATGGTTTCTACTGAGAACACAAGTGTTTTGTCGCCAGATGACTTCTGCCCCAACTGCAGCTCATCCGCCCAGTCGGAGGTGGATGTGGGCAAGGCGCTGGCGTTGGGGGCGGTGCTGGTGGTGTTTCTGTTGTTCGGCGTCCTCGGTAACATCCTGGTCATCCTGTCCGTGCTGCTCCATCACCAGTGGCGATCCGTGACGCATTATTTCATCGCCAACTTGGCGGCGGCCGACCTCTTGTTGAGTTCGGCCGTGCTGCCGTTCTCGGCCACCTCAGAGGCGCTTGGCCGGTGGGTGTTCGGACGCTCCTTCTGCACTGTGTGGGCCGCCCTGGACGTCCTCTGCTGCACCGCGTCCATCCTCAGCCTCTGCGTGATTTCCATCGACCGCTATCTGGCGGTGAGCTACCCCCTGCGCTACCCTGCGATCGCTACCGGACGGCGCGGCCTGACGGCGGTGGCGGCGCTCTGGGGAGTCTCCGCCGCCATATCGGTGGGCCCTCTATTCGGCTGGAAGGAGCCCGACCCGGAAGACGAAACAGAGTGCCGAATCACGCAGGAACCTGGATACGCCTTGTTTTCCGCATTGGGGTCTTTCTACATACCGCTAGCCATCATCCTGGCCATGTACTGCCAAGTCTACACCGTGGCAAGACGAGAAACCAAAAGCATCCGGGAGAGCACGAAGGGAGAGGAGGTGGAGATGGGAGGAGTCATGTTGAGGATGCACAGGGGGAACACGGCGGCTCAGGTGGGGAAACAGGACAACAGTGAGGAAGCGGGGACGCACAAGCGGCCGTCGTTTCCTCTGCCGAAGCTGCTGAGGTTCTCAGGGGAAGAAAAGGCAGCCAGGACTCTTGGCATTGTGGTCGGCTGCTTCATCCTGTGCTGGCTCCCCTTTTTTCTGGTTTTACCAATAGGTAGGTAAATGAAAAACATCTTTTTTCATTACTCATTTTTGAGTGAATTGGGACTTTCCCAAGTGAATGATAAGCCTGGCGGGCCACCAGGCCCTTGTGCTCCCACCAGGCTTAGCATTGCTTTTTTATTTTAATTTTCTGTAAATGTTTGCATTTTTAAGACTTCATAGTTGGTATTCAGATATTCATCTTCCAATAACACATATATATCATATTTCCAAGTTTTCTGTAAACTTTAAATATTTTTTAAATCAAAAACACGGTGGGCCGCTGGATGATCACCCCAACCACCTGGCTTAGCCGCTATTTTGGTGGTAAACCTTATGATGATACTATATAATATTCTATTCTCCTGTCACCTAAAGACATGTTTATTTATAGCGGAAAGATGCAGACGTCGCTTGTCTTTTGTAGTTTAATCATTTTGATTCAAATTACTATATCTTTCTAAATATTTTTTTAAAATGCATACATTTCAGATTTAGTGCATTATCTTGACAAATTAACAGCTAAAAGAAATGCTAATCATTAGCCAGTAACTTTGGCCGTTCACCTGAGGGATGGGGTGACGTCACACCCCAGGGGTCCATTAGTGAGATAAATCAGACCTATGGATGCACTAAGACTATGGTTTATATATTCACTACACATTCTCATTAAAGAGCATAAAACATGGATAACTAAATTTTCTACCCAAGTAGAGATTCAGTTTCTTCTTCTTTTTTTTAAAGTGTTTTTTCTGTTGCTGCAATCATAAGTTAGCTATGCCTCATGTTGTGATGAGGGTTCAAAGGTGCCAACATAACATGTCTGAGTGTTTATTAAAAGCAAAAGTAACAGAGATGCTGAGAAACTGCAAAACCACAGTTTCATCCATTCAGAAGTGAGTATCTAGTAGTAAATTGCCATCACTGTGCAATTTGTTTGCAGCTGCAGCAGATTTGAGCGACTCAACCAAAGGGAGCAATTAAGCTCTGCTTTTCTAAGCGAGGCTCGGGTTTGATGCGCCTGCCAAGAAAACAAGTTATTATGTCAGATGATTTATGCAGTAGAAAATGGATATGTCACCAATGTCTTTGTTTGGCTTGAATGGATTCACGCTAACTGAGAGCTACTATTATTCGATACACCCAATCTTATGTTGGCAAGTACAGAGCAAACTTAAAAAGTTCACTTTAAGTCTGGAAATATTTTTAAAGATATTTATTGATGAATTTTTACAATAGGCAAAGTTAGAGACATTATGAGCAATTTTGTTTTCTGCTTCTGCAATGTAATAGTAATAGTATTCAAAAACCAAAGTTCTGCAACTATTTGTGAGAAACTTTCCATCTGTATCTTTTTAGCAATCTGGTTTTAAGCAACTTATCCAGCATTATTTTTTAGAACAATCCTTTGGTAAGCTAACTGCAGCTTGTCAAATTTCCTTGTACAAATTACCAACTAACAAATGGAGCAACGTATTTCTATTTAAGCCAACTGTTGTTACCTTACAGCAACAGTTGTAAGCCAACAGTAAGCTAACTCTCAGCAAATAAACGGTTGCTTACATGCAGTACCGTGCAGACCACTGGGGGGTGCCAACAGACCACAGCTTGAGAAAGACTGCTCTAAATCATCAAGTTCAATGGAGCAATTTTAGCCAGTATGTGGAGGAACAGACACATTTCTTTAGGAGAGTTACAGCAAATGCATCATGTTGCCAAGTCGTTATCGACCAAAATCCCAGAGGAATGTTGAATCAATAATACAAAGAACAAAGACAACTTTCATTTAAAATCCACAGAAAGATTAAATCTTTAAAATGCAAAGCTGCAACAAAAATTAGCGCTTTAGCAGCCGCTTCTGTAGAGGCATGAACTTTGGCGCTTTAATTAATTCATTAATTCACTGTGAGCACAACAACAGGGAAGCTATCTTTTGTTGACTCCTGTGTCTTGACCCAACTCGGTCTATTACGTCGCTGAAAGGAGACAAAGAAATTCAATTACAAGCAAGCAAATAGAGCAAACAAAACGGTACAATGGGCTTCCTCTGCGAGATGTAATGAAATAACCCACCTATTGCTCTTATCTGAGACAACTGTTATAGATAACATGCAGGAGGTTTAATAGACTGCTATACCAGAGCCACCACCAACTTCCAAAGCAGCCAGTCATATGAGGAGAGTCATGCATTTCAATGAAGACAGACCTTCACAGCTCATGAAGCTGCTTTCAGACTATCACCGCCTCAGCATTTTGTATGACATTCACAGAAAAAAAAAACGCATTTATGTCCAAAACTCTGTGGATGAAAAGCTTGTTTCAAGCTCGTTAATGACGTCTTTCAATGTAGCTGCAGACTTATTGCAAGAGGGCCAGTTGTTTAAGAGGCAGCTCCGTTTTCTGAACACAGAAGATTCTGTGAAGTGCCTGTGACGCTTTGATTTACAGAGAATCAACAGACCAGAAAACTGTACAAATTTGTGAATCTATGAGGAAAGGCACAAAGTGGTTTTCATCGGATTTCGGTTATAACAATTTATATTTTGTGCGTATTGCATGAGTGCACATGTATTTGAGTCCAGCAACTAGGCAGGGAGCCCCGACAGGATTAATTTAGTCTGGAAGCGCTGGGAAAAATGCCACATTTCAGCATTTTCCAGCTTTGGATTAACATGCAAACAGAAAAGAGTAAATATTTTCAGCTTTTGACCCTTACTTCAGGTTCTTTTGTCTACATGATAAATACCAGACTTTCTAAACAAAAGTTGCTCCAATCAGATGGGTTTGATCTGTTAGACTTTCCATTATGTTTGTAACTGGAAATTAAATCACCAATTAATTGAGAATCCTGGAAATTTAAACCTGACTAGCGAGATGAAAAGCTCCTTATAAGTTAGTTAAATCTTACTTGGTAATATTTTGTATTTTTGAAGTGTTGCTGATTAATTACCATCAAATAAAGATGACTAGCACTGAAAAAACAACAATATGGAGTCGACTGATTGCAATAATGAACAACCAGTTTATAGTTAACGTTTCTAAATTAAGATGTATTTTGATTAAATCTTTTTAATCAATTCACTTAAAAATATATATTTGTTTTACATATTTGTTCAAACTGTCATAATGGCAGTTTGGTTTGTGACATAAAATTAATCTTTGCTTTCTCCCAGTGGTAACTAGAACCAACCAATCAAAGCTGGGGGTGGGTCATAGTGCTGTCAATCAAGCCCGTGTGCACGCCGTTGAGTCGCCCTCACCTTGCTCTCTGTTCTGAGCCCAAGATGAATGCTATGGCCAGTTAGCATAGCCACAGATTATAGCAAATAAATGGTTTTCTTTTTACTTCTCTTTCCCCAGGCTCCATCTTCCCATCCTATAAGCCTCCTGAAACCATCTTCAAGATAACCTTCTGGCTGGGTTACCTCAACAGCTGCATCAACCCCATCATCTACCCGTGCTTCAGCCAGGAGTTCAAAAAGGCTTTCCACAACATGCTGAGAGGGCGCTGCGTAAGAACCGCCGTTCCCGTTACCAAGCAAGGACACATCGCCGCTCATTCCTCCAGCCCAGGTCCAACATCCAACGCATCCGTCCAAAACCGCGCTGCCGCTTCTTCTTCTTCTTCTTCTTCATGGGCTTGCTGCAGGACGCTGTCAATGTCATCATCGTCTGTTGGTGGTCAAGACCCGGATCGGATTGGACACATTCAGGGGAAAGGTCTGTTAAAGGCCTGGTGCCTTTCAGCCCGGCGAACCTCTGTGCCACAGAACCCGTCCACAAACGGGTCAACTAAAGTCTTACGTCTCTCTCTTGGCATTTCCGGCGACGCCGTTTAATTGGCTTGTCAGACATCCAGTCGTGTTATCCAGCCTCCTTGGAGGAACCATTATCTATCCAACTCTGTCGTCAATCACGAGATAAAAATGACTGCAGAAAGAGAAATGTGCACGCTCAGCAGAAAACTTCAGGACCGGTTCTGCTGTTGGACTGAGCCAAGCCTGAACACAAATTCTAGACAGCATTTCCTTGAGTGCTTGCCAATAATTAACAGATACAAGCAATCTGTTAAAAAAGAAATTGCAAAGCAACCAACGGGACGTGATTAATCTAAACATTCTGCAGTTTCCACCAAGGGGAACGTTTGTAGGGATAATTACTACGAAGGAAGCTGGTGTTGGACTGTGCTAGCGAAGACTGAAAGAGGAGCATTTCAAACGACAATGTCACAACAGAAACGTTCGGTGCCTTGTTTTCACTCATTTGTCAGGCTATTGCCACAAACCCAAGCATGTTTGATTTTGGGGATTTAATGTGACGGAACATCATGAAGCATAAACCTAGCTGTACTTCGATAGCGTCAGAGGTTTCAGAGAAAACATTAGTGAACTTTAGCACCGAAATTAAGACTATTGTGCAACCACAGGAGGTTGCACAATTCAATTACAATTGTCACAGTAGTCTGAAGCCAATTACTGATCTGAATAATGATAAACAATGGTAACTGGCATGTATGCTAATTGTGAGCTTCTGTAAAGCTAACTTAAGTGATTACTCTCCTTCTCATTTGCTCATTATCAGCTGCAATCTATAATCAGACCAGCTGATGGGTTTATTTAGGATATAAACTTTCACAACAAGGAGTTAGCCACTGCTGCCTCAGCAATAGTCTTAATTTTGGCCCCAACGACGCACCAGATCCAACAAATCACATCATAAAGATCAAGAAACAGATCAGGCAGGTCAGGAAAGAAGCCAAAGGAGTTTTAGGGTGTTTTCACACCTGATAGTCCAGTAGATTTGGTTCAATTGGAACATTTGTTACATTTTCTGGTACTGTGGTTGTTATTCACACTGCACTGTGTCCAACAATAAAAACTAATTGAAAAAGCTGTTCCCCTCCTCGCCTGTGGGGGCGCTGCACAAAGAACCACTGAAGGAAACGACACAAAAACTTCACAATGTGTAAACAAAAAAAAAACCAGTCGTAGGATTTTACTTTTGTCTTTATAAAAGACTACGAGTCGTTTTTCCCTCAAACTTTCTGATTTTGGAGCAGTCTCCGGTCCAAATAGTGTTCACATACACATTTGAACAACAAACAAATTCACTTTAACTGAACTGAGACCCAGAACTTGCTTCGTTTTGTGAAGAAGAAAAAAGGCTATTTTTTTATTTTTTAAGTCAATATAAGAGCAGCTCTTATAGTGGTGAAAGCTTCAAAACACTGCTAGGCTGTCCATCATGTCTGCATTGAGGTTTTTTGCCTTTACAGCTGATTTCTTGAGTGATTGTCTTGAAATTAAGACAAGAAGTGTCACATCTGACTCCATCAGTTTGGACATTATTCATGGAAATAAATGCACAAGCCCCCTATTAGACATTCAGCTCCCATTTTTCGAGAAGCAGCGGATCCAAAAGGTGACACCGCAGCCGTCACATTAAGGCAATGGCTGTCGTGATGAATGGATCCAGAATCCCGTTACTGGAAGACGGGCTTTAGCCCAATCAGTTGACTGAGGAATGTGAAGTCATGACAAAGGGTGATTATGATGAATAATGTCAAGGCAGCGGAGCGACGCAGATGACGTGAATTGAAACTGAATCCTGTGGTTTGTGTCAAACTGGAAGTATTTTCCTGCTACAGAGTATCAGGGTTTCTCCAAGTGAATTAATGTGAAATTTTCCTTGATAAAAAAAGAAAACCCTACTGAATTTGATGACTTGTAAAAATCATTTTCATTGCAAGACTTTTCTGAAAATGTGCAAAAATTGACATTCTTTATTTGCCACACAGAAAAATCACCAATTCCTACCAAGTATCTTTGTCTTGTTTATAGTGTCTTATTTAATATCTTATGTGTTAAATATGACAAAAGTAAATTTTATCAAGATATAGGAGCTTTTTCAAAGTCAAGAATTATTGAATATTGATCAAAAGTACTGGTCAGAAAATGTCTTGTTATAAATTGAAGTAGTACTTTTTGAAAAATCAATTTTAAGGAATTATTCACTTAAAACAAGCTTACAAAATTTACTTTTATCTTAAGATATTTGTACTAGAAATACTTGGTAAGTTTTGGTGTATTTGCAGCGTATTTCATATTGTGGAAAGAATTATTCTGATAAAGTTACCAAAGTTCCCTTCGGTGTTGTCTTCTGGAATTATTTTCAGTCTTGTTAAATGTAAAAACAATAAACTGCAATGCACCAGATGTCTAATCCTGACAGAATGCAACTAAAAAGGGTAATAAACTTATTAAGGATATTATATTATTGCAAACAAATTTAACAGCAAATCAATGCAAATATTGTCTCATGTTAGTTCAGCTGCTTTCTGGGTTCCCAAACGTCTGTTTAACCCTCTGATGCATGAATTATGAATCAAGTGCAAACTTTCAGACTTGCCCAACAAAGTATTAGGGCCACTTTGTAGGAGCAAAAAAAATTACTGAATACGTTCTATGACAATCATTTTTTTGGTTCCAAAAGATTTAAGATGTTTTGAGCTCCTAGTGCAAAAATTGTTCAACGTCACTAAATTTTCTGAGTTTCAAAAGTTGAACATTTGAACTTTGATCTCAGAAATGTTCACGTTTTTTTGTAGAAAATTTCTGAGGTTCATCTTAAAATTTCTGAGGTTTTTCACTCTAATTTTCTGACTTCTGGAGCACAAAAATGGTTGGTTTTCATGTGTTTTTCTAGAAAATGTCTGAGATAAATCTGAAAATTTCTGGGTTTGTTCACAGTAATTTAAGAATTTTGGGGCTAAAAAAAATTCCCAGTTTTTTAGAGAAAATTTCTGAGGTTAATCTCAAACTTTCTAAAAAAATTTTTGGGGCTGAAATTTATTCAAAGGCCCTAATATAAAGTTATAGACCCGTACTACTGTAGTTAGCCTCAGCATTTTGATGCAGCTGCAGTTAAATCACCATGTTTGATGCTTTTAAAGGAAAATAAACAGACATGCTAATACTAACAGACCAGATAATATCCCACCAAATCTTAAAAGTAGCTTGAATTGGCTCAACACGATCGATAGAGGTGGTACAATATAAGTTAAATATTAACTGAAAAACACTGCAAACACAGGATAAACACATTATACTAAATAAAATTGGTTGTTCGTCATTTTTACCTGCGTATCCTCCCAGGATCCAGCGGCCATTGAGCCGGAAGTTTGGCCTCTGGATGGGCCACGATCCTTTACGGACAAATACGACAAGTCAGCTAAACATGCTACTCGCTGCGTTAGCTAAACATCGCGTGTATTTAAGGTGATTTGTATTTCGACGGTCTTACATACATGTCAGTTTTGTGAAGAGTATGACGTACGGTTCTTCTATGAACAGGTTGTCCCACCTGAACACTTGGTTTTCAAAAAGCAGCTCCAGGTTGAGTTCAACATGCTAAACTTGTTAGCCTTTAGCTAACTACCGTTAGCCGACCGGTGCAAGGAACAATTAGCTTAAAATGAGGTCTGCGTCTTCCTGTTAAATCAAACAAGGCATAAATAAGTAATGTACGTCTCCAAAAATGTTATATTAATTTACAGAGTTCTGATTTTTTTATATCTGCACATTTTGAGCTATTTGTGTTAGGTATAATTACCTTTCAAATGATTTCCATTATAATTGATCATTCTACTTCTGTAATCTGTTAACTGGAAAATAAAGGGCAGCTGCAGAAATCTCCACAAATTTGGCTTATGTAAAAATATCTAAAATTAAAAGACTTGTGGTCTGGAAAACAACATATTTGGAGGAAAACAAAAAGAGCCTGCACTATGGAGGGTTAGAGGTAACAAAAGTAAATTAATAAATCTACCGTGAAATACATATCAAATCATAAATAATTAAAGTAATTAAATAATTGAAATAACCACTATGTAATATATTCAGTGGCATGTTAGGGCCAAAAAGGTTAATTGCCACTAAAAAAAAAACAACTAGAAAAAAAATAAGAAAATTACTGAGTTTGAAAACATTTTCTTGAAAAAAAACTTGGAAATTAGAGTTTCTATAGTTGTACATTTTTTACTTTATACCTCCAGGTTTTTCTCAAAATATTTTAAGATTCTGCAAGTCAAAAATTTTCAATTTCTTGAAGCAAATTTTTTGACTTTCCAAATTCAGAAACGTCCTTGCTTTTGGAAATGCCTTTTTGTCACAGTCACCTGGCAACCTCTCATCCAATAGGAGGAAAGTGTTGTAATGGGTGTAATTGTTTCCTGCTACAGGGTGTGCCTGTGTGTCTACTATTGATTTAAGCACCCTGTGTCACCCACTGGATGTAGGGAGAAACAACAATGTCAGCTTTCCGCTCTGTAGTACACCGACATCTGCCAGCAGTGTGCTACAGATCACTAACAGCTATTGACCCTTGGCAGGATTTTATTCAGCAAACAACTCCCTACATCCAGTGGGTGGTGCAGGTTGCTACAATTTATAGTAGCCACACAGGCACACCTGCTGGAAGAAAACAAACGCACCCAGACAACACTTTCATTGAGAGAGGTTGCCAGGACACTGTGCCAAAAGATGCTTCCAAAAGCGAGCAGAGAGTCCGAGCAGAGACCAACTGTGATCATGAAGAGAAGTTTTGAGTACAAGGGTTACAAGTTTTGAGAATAAAGACATGAAATCCTGCTTTCAAAATAAAAATGTAAGCAAAAGTTTTGAGAACTAAAGACATGAAGTTCTGTTTTCTTACTGAAAATGCATGCTCTTGGATTATGGCAGGAAAATTTCCCCATATATGTGTTGCTTTTCTTCTCTCTGCATCTCCACAGCAACTGAACCGCTCACCTTGAAGCTTGTGATGAGAAAGAAAATTATTCTTGCAGCTGTAAAACTGACATGTGAGGTAAATTTGATGCAAGCGATTATGAATGCAGCCAGAATGTGAGATTTAGTCTGAAAAAAAAATTTGAATTATAACTTCCAGAATTTGAAATTTAATTTTTAAAGAGTTGATATTCGGAACATTGAATAAAGATGTTTAGACCTTTCTCCCCTCATAATTCTGATTTTAATCTGTAGAATAAATGTCAGATTATTGATTCCCAAACAAAAATTTCCTTCCTTTTGCAAGCTAAATATTCTGACAATTTTCCTTCTTAGGAATAAAATAACATGGGAATGTAATTCTTGATGGTTGGAAATATTTACACAAACTGGCCAGTAGGGGTCACAATACTCTCATAAACCTTGTAAATCATTTCCTTGAAAGAAAATTCATTAGTTTGGCATTTATAAAAGAATAAAAAGTTAATTTAAACGTTAAAAGTATCAAGTTAATTCAGACTTCCGGTGAATATGTTGTAGTTTATTGAAAATGGGTAACTGATGTATTTTATTTAGCAGCTGCAGTTGAATGATGAAGGATTTACGGCCATAGCAACAAGTGTTGGGTCTCAACAAGCTTCATCTGTAAATGGGACAGCACCGCCCCCTAGTGGAAAACTGCAATATCTCTGGATTCCTCTGAAACGCTTTGAGATGCCACACGATTAGAGTTACTTGGTTATATTTAATTCAAAATTGAATGAAGCTATTTGGGAAATTAATTTGTTGTTATTTCAGTTTTAGTTAAATGAAAGTCTGAATAGTGTGGCATGTATTTGTTGTAACTGCAGTTGCAAGACCTGGGGGAGTGTCTGTGTCAACTTTCCACTTCTTGAGACTGAAGTTTTTGCTTTTTATTCTTTGAAATAAAAAATCTTTCACAGATTCTCAATTGGATTTAGAGCTGGACTTTGACTGTGCCGTTCCAACACATTGACCTAAATCATTACAGTGGGTCAATGGGTCTGAGTTGTTGTTTTGAACATTATTCTCGACTTAGTGACAATTAATTAAGCATGGACTAAACAAGATCAACAAAAGAAAACACTTAGTACTCCAAAGTCCTTGTTTCGTTCATTTTATTTTCCGCTGTCCACATGATCTTTTCGTCATAACAAGCAAGCATCCCAGAAACCCTACAGCCACCAGGACAAACACCATCACACAGTTTCACTTTCACAAAAAGTAGGGGGAGAGCTTACAGAGGAGGAGGTGTGGGGTGACTACGGGCCTCAGGGGGGGGAAGGCGGCATCAACAACCTCAGAGCAGAAAGGAAGAACCTGTCAGTCTGCAGCATGTTGGGTACATACATGTCACTCGTATAGCGTTAGCATAATATGGCATAGAAAGAAAACATCCAAGCTGAAAGAGCATCGAAGGAGTAAAACTGGGCGTGTAAACGGAGGAGGCATGAGACACACTGAGGACGCCAGAGGAGACGATTGGCGTTTTTAGATTCTTCTGCGCCTGCAGAATCTTTTCAGAACAATCTGGAGTCCACACAACAACATAATTCAGAAAATATGTCGGCACAGAGTTGTCGGCTGTAGCACCGGGTTGCCATGACAAACAGCCAAAGGAGTGGGGAGAGGAAAAGTTCAGCGGTTCGCTGCCAAGTCGTGTTACTGTTTTTTTAGACAAACTCGACTGCATAATAAATCTTTAAAAACAGTGGGCTTTCAAAAGACTTCCAGTCATTGCAAATAGGATAATGCTTCATGTAACGGATGCCAAAAGAGAAAAGTAGAGCTTTATTATTCAACACTACTCACAAGCCAGATGAGCACAGACTAGCTGGCATTAAAGCTAAAGCCACTCAATGCAAATGAAATCTTTTACTTTGACAATATGATTAAAATAAAAAGCTTAACCTAGACTTAATTGATGAACTGACTGAAACTTCAACTGTTTACTCATTTACTTAAGATACTTTGAGTGAAAAGTAGTGGGTATTATTACCCAACTGTTCCTGGGAATAATTCACAATTTGGTCCTTTTTATTCTGTGATTTATGCATTTAATATTTCTAAAATCCTAGAACAACAAACAGTGAGTGTTTTTAATCTGAAAATTGCAGTTTTACAGGTGAGAACACAAGCTTGCTAACATTGGCTACTAGCATGCTAACATTTAGATTTTAGAATTAGCTGTGGCTAATCTGCCACTGTGGATGTTGAGTTAGCCTGGTACTGTTATGGTAAGATTACGCTAATAGTTGTCTGAGGCAAAGTTTTGTTGTGTATATTACTAGCATGTCTTTGTTTTAATTAATAAATTATAAATTAGGATGCTACTATTGGCTTTAACAGCAGTTAGCATCCTAACAGACTACAACTAAGTATGACAGTGGACGTTAGCGTTATTGAGACTAGCATTAGCATAAAGAGAGACTTGCATGAATTGTCTATCGAAAGAAATCTTTAAATTAAAAATTACATCCAAAGCTAATTTACTAAAACAATCAACTCCAGGTTGTGGTTTTACATTTCAATCAAGATGCTAACAAAAGCAGAAGTAGCATGAAAATGACAATTATTAGCCTTGAACATTACCATACTATAGCAGTTGTTAGCATGCTAATATCCAGACATTAGCCGAGCCTAATACTTAGATGTCAATATTAGCATACTAGTGTTAGCATAATAGTTATTAGGCTATTGTTATTGTGGATGAATAGTAGCATGCTGGCATTCACACTAGTGAATGCTAGAATGTACGCTAATGGTACTGAAGTATTAGTGTCTGCTAATGGTACTATAGCATTAGCGTCAATGTAGCAAATACTCAGGCCAAGCTAAATATTTGGTTAAAAAATGAACAATTTTTTAGCAAGCGCCTCCTGTAGGTGTCCCATCCCTCATCCGCATCAACACTAAATATCAGTCAGAACTACGTTAGCTCATGTCTATGTTCAAGCGTAAATCAATAGTGCTCAGCCCTTAGGCACCTAGTTACAGAATAACACTAAAAAGCAGTTTGACAACAAGGTAAAAACTCTAAAACATTAGAACATTTCAAGATATCAATCTCGTTTTTCCTTCGCGTAGGGCTGGAAAGCCCATACGAAAGCACAAAAATCTGGCACCTTTGAATCGGTTAATCCTGGCTATTTTACATCTTTTATCTTACATCCTTCACTTACTTCACCAACAAATAAAAAAAGAGAACAAAATCAAAATATCAGTACAACTTCTGTTTGTTCAGGCACATAAAAAGTGAAAATGAAGGAGAGATTTTGATGAGTAGAAAACAGTCTGTCTGCTAAAGCAGCAGTTGGTTGGTTGGTGGAGGACGGTTGCGAATTTCGCAGCTTCCGCTGTAAAATTTGGACCTTTGTGACTCAGGAATGCAAACAAAGTGGAAAATCAGTGACTTCCCAGGCGGGACAGATCTCACGAAAAGGATTTAAAGAGACAATAAGGCATGGAAAGGCAAAGTCTGACAAAGTAAAACTCCTCAACCACCAGTTCTGCAAAGCAATTATGACCGAAAACAGAAATGAAATGAGACGGTTTTCCAACTATCACACGCCACAGATACAAAACAAAAAATAAGATTTGAAAAATCTCTAAGTATTTCAACTCTTAAGGCAGCATTTATTGCAAATTATCAACACAATTTGAGATTCTTGACCTCACTGCTGCAAAACTGTTAAGACTGATCAATTTGGTACCCATTCTTCATTTTAGCTACAACTGAAACAAAAAGCAAAATAAATGAACAGGAATACAGCATCTTGCACAAACACAACCGTTTTTGTCCTAATTGACTCCCCTGAACCCCCAACAAAAACTGCAAACCAAAAAATAAGACGGACAAATGTAAGTAAAATATATAAAAATAACAAAAAAATGCAGCCAAAAGTGCTCTAAAAGCAGTGTTATTTTCTTCTTTTTCTTCCTTTTTGTTTGTTTTCTATTTATTTCTAACTGTGTCCAATAGAGGCTGGGGAAACAGGAAAGTTGGTAGGTGAGAAAAACTGCATAGGAGGAAGCGCCGGGATCAACGGTGAGGCGCAGCGAAAGGTTCGGCTCTTCTCAACTTGATCTCACCGGCTGAACGCCATCCTTTGACAAATTTCCTCCTAGGCAGGGTCAAGGGTCAGGGTTTGGCAGGCGGAGCTTTAACCCAGGCTGGTGATGTTGGCCCTGCCACCCGGGGGCGCCACAATGCGCTGGGTGTTCCTGCGTGGAACGTTGTCGTCGATCTGAGCACCTGTGCAGCCAAACAGAAAGTGAGCTGTTTACGGTTCCTTGAAAACGTCAAAACAAAACGTGTTCATTACGTTTTCGAGATGTTTCAGGTTGTCCTGCCACTTTAAATCTGCCGCTGGCCACGCCCCCAACTCAACGTTTACAGGTACGCAAACATACAACCGTACATCAACAACAAAACATTTTGTCTTTTCCAGCAGCCATTGTACAGTTCATTCATCCTCCATGAGTCTGTATTAGAAAAACATTGTGTCTTTACTAAGAGATTTCTTCTAATTTGCTGTACTACAGTCTGCTGCAGGCAGTAATCACCACTAATATTATTTACAACAACATTCACTTTCCCTTTGGGTTCAGTGAAGTGTTTTTGAATTTAATTGGTGCAGCAGTTACACCCGCTGACCGAATGTCTTGGAGTTCACCTTGTGTTGCTAGCTAATAGGCCAGGCTTCTCTGGGGTTACCAGGTGAAGGGTCGGTGCTTGTTGACTTGTGACATTGCATTCCTCAGGTTTTTGAAATTGTCCAGACAACAGAAAACATGAACTTATTGTCAATTATTTATTTTTAGTAGAAACCCAAATGGATCGATTAATTCTCAGTTTAATCCACAGTTTTACATATTTATCATGTTAAAATCATGATATCGTCCATGACAGTGGATTAATGGTTTTATATGGTTTAAAATAGTTGATTAGAAATATCCAATTGTTGACAGAGAAACTTAAGCTAACCCAATGTCTGACTCAGTAAAACTAAAATGTAAGGAACCTCACTGGTTCCTTACATTCACGAATTAGCCAAAAGCTTGGCTTTCTCTGAAATCTTCAACAATACTCAAAGTATCACCTCTCTCCTACCAGAAAGAAACAAGCTACAGGTTCCTGGCTGTGAGTAAAGTTTACAGACTGATGGTTCCTGACTGACCGGACAGGCTGAAGCCAGACTGGTGCAGGTTGCGGACAGGCTGGTTGGGTTGTTTGGCAGGTGAGGTCTTCGCAGAAGAGACGGGGGTCATGGTTTTAGGGGTGACGGACACCTCGCACACCGGTCCGTCGTACAGTCCTCTAGGTACACCCCTCAGCTCGGCCAGCTGCAAAAAGACAAACAACACGTAATATTCAATGCAGGAACCGAAACGACAGTCCTCAAAACAACAACGCAGCACTATACCCTGCTGCGAGCCTTTATCCTCTTGTAGACGTAGTCAGGGAAAGGTTTACGGGCCACGAAGCGTCCTGAGCCCTCAGTGGCGTGGAGAGTCCCCTCCTCCAAAACGATCTTTCCCTGGCTGATGACCACCAGAGGCCCACCGCGCACCTCCAGGCCTTCAAAGATGTTGTACTCCACAGTCTGAGAAATTTTTTAAAGTAACAAAAGCACAAAAAGACAGGGTTATTTTCCGCAAACGATAAAAATTTGATTTCATTCTGACAATTTGTTTATTTTGGGATTTATCCCAAGTTACAACTGCTGAAAAAACAAAACTCAAGACAAAAGATTGGATTCATTTTGGTCTTTTAGCTGCAGTAGACAGTAATAACCTACATAAGTTACCAGAAACTCAAGCTAACAGCTACAAAAGCTAGCAGTTAATAGCTATGAACATCAACAGCTACGTTAACTGACAGTTACTAACACTAACGGCTGCCTGAACTAACATCTAAGAATACTAAAAGCTATCAAAGCTAGCAACTACAGAAGCTAACTGCAACTCAAGTTAGCATTTTGCTAAACTAGCACTTACCTAAAGCTAACGGATAATACCTAACATGTAACTAACATCTATTAAAGCTAAATGCTATTTAGTCTAGTAGATATTAAAGCTAACAGTGATTTAAAAATAACATCTACTTAAGCTAACAGTAATGGACTAAATCAAGCTAATGGCTACTTAGGCTAGCAGAAACCTAAACCTAATTACTCATGCTAACAACTATATTGTTTTAAATGACAAAAAACAAATTATGAATCAAGTGAATAGTTGACAATATTAACAGTTGTGAAATGCGAAAGTGACCAGGTTAAAAATAATTGGCACCAAAAACTGGAGGTTTTGGGTTTGAGTTCTTTTAGCTTGGACCGGTTTTAAGGTCCTGTTATCCTGACTAACATTACAAGTCCTTCCAGATTCTCCAAACTGGAGTGGATAGATGCTGACTCCACAAAACCTGACTTACAAAACATCCTTTAACAGATTTGTTACAGTGTGCTGCCTGTGGTCTAATGCTAATGCTAATTGTATGGACAAGAGGGATAACTGATGGTGTTCATTTTCATCCCAACAGATGAGGAGGCTTGGCCAATGAAGAGGTTTGTGTGTTTGTGTGTGTCCACTCTGGAAGCCTCATAATGCTCTTTCCTAAAAAGCCACTGAAGCTAACGCTGAGGTCATGGCAATCTGGCAAAACTTTATCCCAACATAACCTCACCAGTAGGATTAGCCACCCCATTACTCACACGCTGCTATACATAATTTCTCCCATGGAACAAAAAGAGGCTGGGGGACATAACAGGATTAAATTAGCAGGTTCCCAGAACATCCACAGCAATGGTCTCCACGTCTTTCTAAAACATACATACACAGACAGGCAGCCAGCAAACAATCAGACCCTGATGTGTTTCAGTTCTTTGGCAGATTTTATGAATGACATCACTCCCTCGACACCATGTGAGGCCCACGCCCTGTTCAGCAGTCTTCCTAGCAGTGGACTAGCTCCCACTGACACCGGTTTCAGAAAATAGAGGACATCGTACGGAGTTGTGGCTCTTGGCAGAGATGATCTTCGTGACGTCCGGGTCCCAGAGCACCAGGTCCGCGTCCGAACCCACTGCGATGCGGCCCTTGCGGGGGTACAGGTTGAAAATCTTGGCTGCATTGGTGCTGGTGACGGCTACAAACTGGTTCTCGTCCATCTTACCAGTCACCTGGAATACATTACGACTGAGTGTTAGAACTGGCTTGATTCTCTAAGCTTCTGTTGCATGTTTAGTCTACCATTCCTGAACAACTGTTTGAATGTTCTCATTTGTTTTGTTTCAATGTTTTTTGCATAAAGCCTTTTTTGACAGAAAAAACATTTTGTCAAAAAAAAAAAAAATGCAAAAATTAAACAGCTGCTTAGGGCCTCCACACCACCAGAGGGCCCCCAAGAGCAGCAAGCTAGCATGATAAAAAAAACATATACATTTAAAATAATGTTGAATAACACAAACTAAATGGTATTACACATAAAAACTATTTCTATATTGTTTTTATAGTTGTAATAATGGTTTTTCTCTTCCTACTGATGGCTGCTAAATATAAGATATCAAACTTGTCAAATGTAAATTTAGTTTGGATTATATGATGTCACTTTCAGATGGTTGAAATAATATGCTACACTTATGGAGCAAAATTAAGTGTCAGAAAGATTATTCAAAAGAAAAAAACTAGCTGAAAAAATAAAGATTTGAAGCAGAAATAAAGGATGTGAAACTGAAAATTTTCATATCTATTTTTCATATTCAATGATTGGTTTTTTTTAAGTTTCAGATTTTGATTTTCAGTTTTGATTTTTTTTTTCATTTTCAGAATAATATTTCTGCTTAATTTTTTTACTTCAAATTTTTTTTAGTTTCAAATCTTTTTTATTGAATCTTTTTTTTCCAACAATAAGTTTTCAGTTTCAAATCTTTCTTTTTTCTTCAGTTCAAATAATTTTTTTTTTCTTCACTCCTATATTTTCTTTCTGTTGACCAAACTTTTTGGCCCCAATTTAGCTCCAGATACACTTAAGTACCACTCTGCACATTTTTTTCAGTTTGTTACACCTGTAAAATTAAAATCAATATAATAACATTGGTGTGATTTCAGAAAATAAAAAACATTGTTATGTTACACAGCTCAGGATTTATAAAGAATTTGTTGTTGACATGTTGGAATTGGGGGCCCCAAAGAAAAATCTGCTCTGGCCCCCAAAAAGGTTTGGGCCGGCCCTGGCCAGGACACGTACCACACATTTGTCCCAGATGATTGACATCCTCTCCTCGGTGCCATTGACACCCTCAGGAATCAAGGTGAAGTCATCTTTCCCCACAGCGCGCTGGGCCGTGTTGAAGGGACAGTGCGCACTTCCTGTCACCTGCAGGTCGCCGCTATAAAGACGAAAAAGGAGAACACACAAATATAACCGGAATGCTGGACAAAAACATTCCCAAATGTGTCTCCAGTTGGATCCAACTTTCACCAGGACAGCAAGGAGTTGAGATAGTCCGGAGTGGCCGGGTCGGGACTCAGCGGAGGGGACGTGACATAAGCCGCAGCCTTGGCCCAGTTCTTACTCCAGTAGTGTGACCCGTCTGTCCCCAGGCTGGCCGTGATCGGCTCTCCGTAGACCACAGTGCCTGGAATAACGGTACAATGAGGTTCTGCTGCCAGACTGAGGCAGGTTACTGCAACAGCATGTTAGAGACACTGCGGACAGGAAACGTCTGCCAAAAAACTTTTTTAGAATAAGTCTGAACATTTTTGACTTTTTAAACTCAAATATTTTAGAAAAAAAAAAATTAGTGAGTTTGAAGAAAACTGGAAATTTCCGAGATTAATTCCAAAATTTTGGAGCTTTTGTCAAGCAATTTTTTTTTTTTTTTTTTTTTTTTTTTTGCTTTTTAAACTCAGAAATTTCCTTGTTTCATATAAATACTAGGACCTTAATAAACCATTTTAAGTTGCAGGAACAGAAGGTTTTAAAAAGTGATATTTTTATTTATTTGCCATATTGTTTTTATTGAGTGTCACTGAATAACCATTATTGATCACTGACAACAAAATAACAAAAATTTTGAGAAAAATGTCAGAAGTTTGATTTTAAAAATTCAGATTTTTTTTCTTTTTCACAGAGATTCTCTACTGTAGCACTTAGAGGAGATAATATCAACTAACTTGAAAAGTATACGTAAAAAAATTACATATAACAATTAAAAAGCTTCAACAATTTATTAAATCTAGAAATACTTTTCGAAAAATCATAAAATTTGTACTTTGTCAATTTGTACAGGTATAAGTATTTTCTATTTCATGTTGCTGTGTTGCATAGAGGCCCAAAAGTGCCTCAAACTACAAAAAAATATTATTTGACATATGAACGTTTATGTATGTAATAACTTAAATAAAATTGGAAATACAAACATTGAGTTATTTACTAAAAATATAATGAATTATTCATGAAATATTTCTATTCATGTTATGATAAAAGCATGCTTATCAAAATTATTATTTGTTTTTGTTCTGCTTTGTCAAAACGGCCAAAATGAGCAAAAAATACACATTTATTTATACTTTCCTCACCCTTCTTCCTCGCCTGAGCGATGACATCAGCCGCGCTCTTGCTCATCACCTTGGTAACGTACAGCGGGCAGTTCGTCTGATTGGCCACCGTCACCGCGCGGTTCACAGCTTCTGCTTCCACCTGGAAAACAAAGGCGGCGGCGGCTTCATGATGTAGACATCAAAATCTTCTCTAAGCGTCTGATTGAGCGGCTTTATTTAGCTGTATCAGGAAAAGCAGGTGAACACAAATCAAATACAATCTTTTTAAGCCCTGAGTTATGTTTTACAGACAAGTTTAAACGTTAACGTTGTCCTTTTCCCCACCAAATAGAAGGAAAAAGAGAAGAAAATACATGTTTAAGCAATAACACAGTGTTATCTTTATAACAGATGTCCTGATGACAAACCCCGTCCTTTGTTTTGGCGTCTTGTTTTCGCCAAGGCAGAGAATTGTCCAACGATTATAAAACTGTCAAACTTGAGTACCAAGCAGTGAACGACTGAAAAGGTCAAACTGTCAGAGAAAGAGGCAGGAGTAGAAATGCAAAGTAAAAGCATTCACCTCCTCTGGATGGCTCAACACGTGTCCTTCAGGTCCGGTGATCCCCTGCTCCAAGATCCGCCTCTGCTCCTAAAAAACGCACAAACAAACTCAATGGGAAACTCAACCCTTGACTCATTCCAGGTGTTTCCGATCAACAGCAGAGAAAACCGATCACTGCCGTGACCCCTGTGACCTACTGTCCTCATCTGGTGGCAATTACAAACTGCTGCATGTTAGAACAGGACTACAGGCCACACACAGCACCGTCATTACATTTTCTGCACAAAAGTATTCTTAAATAATGACGTTTTAGTCTGCGTATCTTGAGATTCTTTCAGAATGAGCCGTTTGAGTGCATCTTGTCACTTTAAATCCAAATAAATTCCAGCTGGCTGCACCGCCAAATCCGCGTTTACACATGAAAATGGCTTTATTTTGAGACAAAAAGCAGTTCATACCATTTAAAAATAATAAAAATACATATTGTGTCACAACTGACAACCATCAGAATCATTTTGTTGTCATTGTGCACGAACAAAAGCACAACGAAGCTTAAAAGATAGCAACTCTCAAAGGCAAAAATAAATATGTACGAATATCAGACTACATCAGAAACACACAGAAACAACTGGGATGCTAACGCAAAATGAAAATAAATAAAAAACATGCAAAACAAGCTAAATATTTGGATCCCAGTTAATGGAAAAAAGCTCATATTCATACCTCAGCAACGATGTCCCCGTTCTCGGCGTGAACCTGGGCAATGGCTCCCAGATCACGGATCACGCTGAACACCTCGTACACCTGCGTCGATAAAAATGTGCTATTAGAAATTAAATTTGATGAAAATACCTACATATAGTGCTGTGATATTTTCACTCATTAATAAATGTCACAGTTTCCAACTGAAAATTTAGTTAGCAAGCTAAATATTTAATAAATTAACTAAATATTGAGTTAGCAAGCATGCTAGCACGTAGGCAGCAGGAGTTTATTTTCATAGTCCACTTCAGTTTATTAACAAACTGTTTGAATACTAGCTAAATATTTAGCTCTGAGTTAACATTTGACTTGGTTAGCTTTATGCCAAATATGTCACTCCAAGGTAGATAAATATTTCTAACTGTAGCTTTATTCTGAGCTAACATTTAGCTTCTTGTGCTAAATATTTAGCTCTTGGTCATATAAACATTTCTAACTTACTTTACATTGAGCTAACATTTAGCATTTAGAAGGCTAAATTAGACTGCTCTGAGTTAGCCAAATATTTCCAAGCTAGCTAAGGTCTAAATATTTAATTTGGACATAATATTTAGCTTCCCAACTAAATATTTAATTAGCCCGCTGAGTAGTTTGCAATCTAAATATTTAGCTAAATAATTAAACAATTAGTTTGAAACTGACATTTTATCAGTTAATAAACAACATGTTAAAATATGACTTTATCTTATGACTAAATAACCCAGATTATTGGTTTATTTTTACAAACAGCATCTTATTGTCCAATCTGAAAACAAGAAAACAAAAAGTAAACATTTTTTCCCAAAGATTCCTCAACTTCCTTGGTATCGCAGTAGAATGGGTTCCCTGAATTAATCAAACATGCAACAGGGAGACGCCGTCAGAGTTCAGCGGAAACAAAAGAGGAATAAACTGCAGCCGGCATTCCTCACGCAGGTGCAAAGGCCGGCACAGATCTGCTTCAAAGCTGCTTTCGGACGGGAGTAATTCATTTTCACCATGACTCAGAGTGAGATCTGCGCTGAGATATGGCTTTTATTGCATCTCACTCTCCCAAGAGAAACACTCAGACTCTCATTAGGAGAAAAAGCCTCACCAAGACAAACAGCTTTGCCAAAAATCAAGCCAGATGCATGATTTATTTTATTATAAAGTCATGTCATAAAGTCCCTGCCTTCTCAGAAAATACAGTAAAACCCACTGCTGATCCTGAAAATCACTGCAATCAAGCTTTATTTAAAGAGATATTTCCATTGTAATCTGATTTACAAGACAAGCTGATGTGCTGCAACAAATTCTGCAACATTATGTTAGTTTAATGACAGATTTATAAATTTTCATGCGACAGGATAAGTGAGAGTGGATGTGAATCTTGTTTGGAGAAAGAAAGAAGCCGTACCTGAGCATCAGTAAGCTGGAAAATATCTTTATACGCCAAATAGACCAGGAAAGAGTTGACACCTGAAAATGTCCAGATTAGAAAATGACCATGAAAGCAGGAAATGAATGAAACTTTTACAGGTTTCTAAGAATTTTCTACTAATTTTGTTGGTTTGGTTGCAACGTGCAGATGGATGAGACGTCCAGCGTTCGTACCGTGATCCTTCACCAGCGTCTCCATCTCCTCCTGGACGCCCTTGTGCCACTCGGTGATGTCGACGTGCAGCGAGTAGTCGCAGCAGGACTTGCCGTCGGCCCATTCGCGCCACTGCTCGAAGGCGGACATGAGGCTGACGCCGGGCTCGGGAACCACATGGTCAACTGGACACGCCGACAGGAACCACAGGTTCAACCGCAGCTTTTTAAAACGGGCAAATTCAAAGTCGCCTCTCTAACAGGCTTTTGGTTTAGCAATGTTGTAGACATGAAGTTTGTCAAAATGTGTTTGTTCTTTGAATTCATTTTGTCGGGTCAACAAATTGTTTCTTCTGACATTTATTGACATTTTAGGTTCTGATACTGCTATTGGCGGTTGGTGGTTCCCATAGTAACAGGTGACTGACAGCTCCGCCCCCTTTTTCTGTTGTCATTGGTAACGGCGCTATAGTAGGATCAGCTCTGTGTTTTCTTTACAAATGTTAGATTTTAACATTTATTTTAGACTAATTTAATAATATGCAGGGTTTCTAAAGTAATGTTGCTACGTCTTGCAAATGTTTTCAAGTGTTATTATTATTATTATTATTATTATCAATGTTGTCCATTTGAGATGTGTTCAAATTCACAAAATTAATTGCTGCCAACTGCTGTTAACTGATGTTAACTGATATTAACTGATGCTAACTGCTGTTAACTGATATTAACTGATGCTAACTGCTGTTAACTGATGTTAACTGATATTAACTGATGCTAACTGCTGTTAACTGATGTTAACTGATATTAACTGATGCTAACTGCTGTTAACTGATATTAACTGATGCTAACTGCTGTTAACTGATATTAACTGATGCTAACTGCTGTTAACTGATGTTAACTGATATTAACTGATATTAACTGATGCTAACTGCTGTTAACTGATATTAACTGATATTAACTGATGCTAACTGCTGTTAACTGATATTAACTGATGCTAACTGCTGTTAACTGATGTTAACTGATATTAACTGATGCTAACTGCTGTTAACTGATATTAACTGATGCTAACTGCTGTTAACTGATGTTAACTGATATTAACTGATATTAACTGATGCTAACTGCTGTTAACTGATATTAACTGATGCTAACTGCTGTTAACTGATGTTAACTGATATTAACTGATGCTAACTGCTGTTAACTGATATTAACTGATGCTAACTGCTGTTAACTGATATTAACTGATATTAACTGATGCTAACTGCTGTTAACTGATATTAACTGATGCTAACTGCTGTTAACTGATGTTAACTGATATTAACTGATGCTAACTGCTGTTAACTGATATTAACTGATATTAACTGATGCTAACTGCTGTTAACTGATATTAACTGATATTAACTGATGCTAACTGCTGTTAACTGATGCTAATTGCTGTTAACTGATGCTAACTGCTGTTAACTGATGCTAACTGATGCTAACTGATGTTAACTGATGCTAACTGCTGTTAACTGATGCTAACTGATGTTAACTGATGCTAACTGCTGTTAACTGATGCTAACTGCTGCTAACTGATGCTAACTGCTGTTAACTGATGCTAACTGATGCTAACTGCTCATTGAGAGCTATTGTTTTGTAGTTTCTTTATGGTTATTTATTTGTATCTTAGTTCAGCAGAAACTGCTGGACTGATGTAATCCACCATCTTGATTTCCTTTTTCGTTAGAATTAAAACAATGAACCTGAATGTTTTTGTCGTTAAGTCAACCTACTGGACCTCAGACGAACATTGAAAGGTTGCACACCAATGATCTTGTCTGATTGTATGGCTCTGTTTCGTCTTCAAAATGGCGGCGGTTAGTGTTGCGTCAATGTTCCAGAGCTGACTGCAGCAGGCAGCATTTAGCCTGAAGGGAGTTTGTTTTTGCTGTTGTTTCAGTACAGGGAGCCCTATTGTGACATTTAGCTTCAATTAGTTGCTTTGTTTTTTTTACAGTTCACATAATCAACCAGGTTCACATAACCTTTTAAGGCTGAAATAACAAGGAACAAATTTTTTTTTAATCTAAGCTGTTTAATAGATGCTTTTATATGATAACTGGTGCATTTATGAGATTTTTCCCAACCAATAAGGCATCATGGTGTTTAAGAACACCTTGATGCCTTTTTCTTCTTTAGATTTGTTGTATATATAATTTGAAATTATTTATTTATTTGTTATTTTTTATGCTTTTTGTCTAATTGGTTGTTGGTCAATTCATCAAGCTAGCAAAAATAAAAGAATTGCAAAAATTTCTGATGAGAAAAAGACCAAAAGATTAAAAAAAATACTGTGGGAATAAAATAAGGTTTGATGTAATTAATATTAAATATTGCAGTTTTTCCTATAATCAAGGATAATGGTAATGGTAATAAAGACATATTATCAGATAATAAAGTCTTCCGCCACAGATTTAATCACAGCGTGAGTTAGAACTTATACTAAATCAGGGGTGTTCAAAGTGAGGTCTGGGGGCCTTTTGTGTCCCTTGAAATTATTTTATTTGGCCCCTCAACATGAGTCAAGAAAGTTAAAAGCAACTGTTGACCCAAAAAATGAAACAAAATGAAGAATAACAACTTTTTCAGATGAGCGACTCACTGATCATCGTGGTGCCGCCGGCCAGCGCCGCCTTGGTTCCCTGGTAGAAGTCATCGGCCGCCGTCATGCCCCGGTCGGGCATCTGGAAGCGCGTGTGCACGTCGACGCCGCCGGGCATCAGCATGCCGCCGTGGGCGTCGATGGTTTTCACCCCGCCGGGAACGATGAGGTTCTCTCCGATTTGTCTGAAGCGGCGACATTGAAACGGGTTGGGCCGAGCGGGGAACGCAGGACGCCACAAACAAGCGACGTGAACTCACTTAATGACGCCGTCCTCCATGTAGACATCAGCGCAGAACGACTGGTCATCATTCACGATCTTCGCTCCTTTGATCAAGAGACGGTCACTCTGAAAAACAAAACAAACAAAGCCAGGACATCGTCAATCAAATAAGTTGCTGCTTCAGTTTTCAATAACTTATTGATATTCATTCAGTGGAAGTGGGATTAAATTATGATAGAGGTTTCTCTACTGGGTCTCCCAAAGCTGCTTTCCAAAATGTACATTAAAATAATTTACTTTTATTTCTCTGGTGCCACTTTAGCTAGCACTGCTATTAGCTAAGCTAACACTGCGGTAGCTAAATTAAACACCTGATCTACTGACAATGTGTCAGAGTTGGTGTGTTTAGGTTGCCTTTTTTTGTTGTTGTTACTGAACAGAAACACATCAAATTCCACAGCACAGCTACATGTCAAGGTTATCATCATCAAGCTAGCACAACTAGTCTACTTCCCACTCCCTCAATTAGTTTATTTTTTTTAATTAAATTTTTTCCCTGAGCTTATCGTCTAGTTGCTGTAGCGTAGCAAAGCACTGCATCACTTTTTCTTACCTAGATCAGCCGTACATTTAAAATTTAGCACATTATATCGACAATGTAACAGCAAAAAGCAATGCTAGTCGTCAGCTAGCAACTTCTCGCCTCCAGCTGGGATCTTATGCTCGCGTTTCAAGATATCCATAAGCCAATTACAAACAACAGTAATACATATGTATGTATTACTGTTACATATGTACATATGTATGTTTTATACATAGAGAAGCTGTTAGTATGGAGGACCCCATTGAAAATCTGCTTGGAGCCCCAAAAAGACTTGGACCGGCCCTGCTTAGAAGACAATAGAAAACCCGGTTGGACACACCCATCCTGCCTCAGCGCTGCAGAGACACAAGGGGCCGACCAGTGAGAACCCAAACCATGTGATCAATCATCCTCTTCCCAGCAGAGGAAGAGGAGGAAGAGGAGGGGAGCCCCCCATCTCCACCAGTGTCCCCGTCTCTCCCTCTCTAAAGAAGGCGTGGCCACAGGGTCACAGGGACTCGGGCGTACCCGGCTAACAAAGGCCTCTCTGTTCGAGGAGGCAGCAGCAGCAGAACCGGACCCAGCGCCACTCTGGCTCCACTAAACGGAACGTCTCTGCAAGGCTTCGGGATTTTTGTCCAAAAGTTGCTCAGCTTTAGTTCTGGACGGAAAAATTCTGCTTTAGAACCAAACTACATTATTTGGCAACTTAAACTTCACTGCTGGATGATTAAAGTGACGCCGGTTCACAGTTAAATTAAAAAATTTTTCATTGTTGCACCTCAAATCAAGGGCTGAAGCGATTAATCAGTCGTTATTAATAACTATTGATTACTTTGTTTGTTTTGGATCCATTTTTGTGGGCTACAAATGGCCCACGTGCCGCACTTTGGACACCCCAGATTTAGTGAATGTTCTGGGTTTGAGCCAAGCATGGCAAACGGGAATAAAGCAAACAGGAAGTGGATGACAGACTGATTGAGATGAGTAAAAAATGATCTGTAATTCTTCAATTACAGCACAGTATTTTCACCCACTTTTCCACAGAAAATGACGAGTTTCAAAAATTTTCTCACCTGATTTGCTCCGCTTTGTAAAAATACAAAATCTCTTTGGTCTAATTACTAGTTTAAATATATTATTACACTCAAAATAGGAGAAAACTAACTTAGAAGTAATATTTCAGTTTGTTTTAAATCAATAATTTTGAAATATTTATGAAAAAGTATCAGTTATTGGTAGAAATGCTCCAATCCGATACAAATATTGGTATCGGCCCTAATATCGGGAAAAAATTCTAAATTGGGTATCATGATGAATATAATAAATCTATTTAGTCTATTTCTATCATTCATTATTCATTTTATATTATGATTCCTGATAGAACTTTCTGAGAAGTTTGTTGCAGTTTATTCTCACACGTTTGACCAAGATTTTGTTTCTGTCTGTATTATTTGTTTTACATTAACAGCACTGACTGAAATGATTCAAGATATTTTTGACCAATCCTGTGAACCTATTTGTGTATTTAAATGTTCAGTACCGGTGCAAAGTTATCAAATAAATTTGTATTTTAGTACATTTATGTCTGTGTTTTGTAAAAAAGAAACACTGTAAGCAAATTCATCTTTCCCGATACCGATATCGTAATCGGCTCAGATATCGGTATCAGAAGTGAATAAAGTGGATCGGTACATCAATGGTTATCAGTAGAATATCACAAGTTAAAATATCTTGTTTTACTGGCAGAACATTTCACTTTTTCATCAATATTAAGGAATTATTAACTTTCAACAAACCTCTATAAATTGCTGAAAAGTTTCTTTTAAGTTAATTTTGTCTTATTTCAACTGAAAATAGACAAATACCCCAATTTATTCCTACACTTGAAACCAAACTTTATATCTAGAGTCAGAAATGTAATAAAAACTTTTATTTTGGTGCTGGACATTTAGCATACTGTTGTTTTTGTAATGAGAACAGCTGCAGTAAAGTGACTCTGGTTTAATGAGAGAATTACAGCAGCTGCAGGCTGTAAAACCAAAACAATGATGGAAAAAACGCTAAAATTCACTTTACAGACGAGGAACGTGAGCTCGAATCGCGCCGTGGTTAAAAAGAAACAGAAACAAGAACATAACCTGACGACATGCAGGATGCAGAGTGAAAAGTCTGCCTCCGGCGTAACCTGGCAACATTTTGTGTTGTGTTTCCGAGGGGGAAAATATCCTGGGAAACGTCGAGGAAGTCAGGTGGAGAAAGCTGCCAGCTGAATTACGTGTCTCCTCCTGGATGAAGCAAAAACGAAAACCCAAAACAACCGGATTTCTGTTCGCAAAGCTGCAGGAAAAACCATAAAAACGGACAAATGTGCAGAGAAAAACGCCACAAAATGAGCTGAAACTTTAAAGTATGAAACTTGAAATATGAAAATGAGCTTATTAAAACTTATTGTTCTGATTTGGTGCTAAATAAAAAAGCCCCTCAATCTTTATCTGACGGATTAAAACTTTACTCTCAACTTATTTCCTGCTTGTTAGCAACAAAAAAAGAGTTTTTTTTTTTTAATATTTAAAAGCAATGCAGTAAACTTGTATATTAATGTATTTTTTGCTTCTTCCATTTTTACTTTGTCCCACAAACTTCCTGTACCTTGAGAAAGTTTGAATCAAAATTGTTAAAAATGAGAATGTTATTTATTTCTTTTGTTTTTGCATTAAATAATGACCTTTAAAAGCCTTAAATTGAATTCAATGATGCTCTTTACTGCGAGTAAGTAGCATTTGTCTAAACTTTTAGCATAAAAAACTGTTTCTAAATTTTATATCTCAGTTTGTAACACAAAAAACAACAGAGAAATTTCTATTCAACAGACAATAAAAAAAAAATTGAAATATGTTTAATTTGTCCAAACTGTCTTTTTAACTCCAAGTTTGTAATCAAATCCTGTCGCCGACCCCTGGTTGACCTCCTTTCTGCCGCCAGGCGTCGAGGATCTAACAGAGTCTCTGTTGTGATCACAGCAGAATTAGTTTCTAGGTTTTTATGAATGAAGACTGAAAGGCCCAGAAACACCGATCGGAGTCGGCGGCTGATTGGACCGCTGGGGCGTCAGCTGTGAGACATGATGGCCGCCGGCGAGGCAGGGCGCCGGGAACCGGTTCCCTACAGGGCGCCGGGAACCGGTTCCCTACAGGGCGCCGGGAACCGGTTCCCTACAGGGCGCCGGGAACCGGTTCCCATCCCCAGACCCACAAACACTGCTTGTGACAACAGCTTAAAGGCTATAGACAAGACAGCAGAGGACATTTCTGCCAAAATCTTTTTTTTGGGGGGAATTTAAAAAACTTTTTTTTTAACTAATTTTTCTGAGATTGAGCTCAAATGTAAGATTTTTTTCTATACATATACATGACATAAGATGCTCAGAGTGTTTTTTTCTGTAATATTAACTTTTTGAACCCTAAATGCTTTGGGGTTTTTTATGAAAATTGCTGAAATTGATTTTTGGGTTTTTTTAAAGCAGATTTTCTACTTTTTCAACTGAAAATTGTCCTCATCTTTTTCAGGGAAATTGAGTTACTTTCCTGTAATTTACATTTGGAAATTTCTTGTTTTCTTTGAAAATCTCCAAATTTTTAGAATAAAAATTTCCCCCAAAATTCTTGAAAAATGTTTTTCTTTAAAAAAAAATATTCTGGTAAAAAACTTAAATTTTCTTCTTTTTTAAAGAAAATTTATTAGCAATTTTTTTTCAGCTTTTGGAGCTCAGAAATTCAAAAGCATTCTTCTAGAAAATTTATGAGATTAAACATTTCTGGATTTTTTGGTGGAAATTGACTCCATTTTTATTTACAATCAGCCCACAGCTCTGCTTCTTCACCTGACAACAAATTAAATTTTTTAATTTTGAGAAAAATAAATAAATTTGTTTGACCGCAGTTATGATGTATGGAGTTGGCCAAAAGAGCAGAAATGTAGTTTCACACTGAAGGAAAAAAAGTTAAGAATCACACACTTGTTGTAAAATTGGTAAATAGATCAATCGGTTACATAAAAATTAATTTGTTCTGAGCTGAACTGAACTTTGTTATGTCCTTATAACAAGAAACTTTCTCATATTTGATGAGTTTTGTATCATATATTCTTGTGTTCGCCCCCAGCACAGCGGCGCCCTTGGCAAAGAGCCATATCAGCCATGTCAGGAAACACCAAACATTAACTGCATGTGTGGGAAACAAGTCTGTAAGTCGTATATATCAGAAACCATTTGATTATCTCTGAAATTTTTTTTTCTTACTATTTGAGTCCTTTGATTCCTCCTGATGATCTACAGTCTTAAAATAGAGAAGCTATTTTCATCCTCCATCTTGAACAAAAGGCTTTTTGTTTCCTAAAATAACTTTTTATTTCTGTTTTCGTCTTCCTCTCTTCTGAATTTATGACTCACGTTTAAATGAAAACATGTTTTGTAACTCAGATTTAAGTCAGATTAACTTGATGACATTATATTTCAGCCAATACAATTTATTTAATGTGTAAC